TACAACATGATATGGGAAAATTAGATTAAGCATTGCGGAAGAATGGGCTCCCAAAGGTGTTCGCATCCCCTTCTTCAAAACCTGTGAATAGATTACCTTACGTGGCAAAAGGGACATTGTGGTGATTAAATTAAGGATCTTGCAAAAGGAGACTGTCTTGGGTTTTCCAGTTAGGCCTAATGTAATCACGAGAGTCTTTGTAAGAGGGAAGTAGGAGGTCAGGGTCAGAAAGATTTGAAGATGTCATGCTGCTGGCTTTGAAGAAGAGGAGGAGGCCACGCATCAAGGAATGTAGGTGGCCTCTAGAAACTGGAAAAGGCAAGGAAAGAAATTCTTCCTAGAGCCTCCAGAAGGGACACAGTCCTGCTACACCTTGGTTTTAGCCCAGACACACCCAATTTGGACTTCTGACCTCCATAACTGTAAGACAATAAAATCTGTATGACTTTAAGCTGCTAAATGTGTGGAGTTAATTACAGCAGCAATAGCAGAATCATAAAAACACTAAGAAGTTAATCACGAATCAGTCAAATATACATTGACCTCATTCTCTATGCTGACACATCAGTGAAAAACAAAAAAAAAGAACCTAAGCTCCCTACCCTAAAAGATATCTGAGGATTTGCTTGAGGATGTATTTTTAGACAGACATATCTTTAAGGTACATATTCAGAGAGATATTGCACTGAAAGAGAACACACACAGAGAGCAGAATCCTCTAGTGGATTCTGTATTAACAGAAGGGTCTATAACAGCCGGATCCCTGGCCTCTAACCTCCACAGCCAAGTCACTTGACTCCCAACCAAGGCCTCAAGACCACCCTGGCCCCAAACCGCAGCAATGGAAAGAACCTGAGCCAAGCGGGCAGCATGATGCTCAGCACGCAGCCCTCCTTCCAGCTGGCCCCACTCTAATCTTGTGTTCCAGCCAAACAACTGGGTCAGCAAGGCCACTTTCTCTTCTGGGGTTCTACGTAGACCACATGAGTCCTCCTGGGGGTTAAGAGTCTTATGTAGTTTTGGCAGGGCGAGGTGGCTCATGCCTGTAATCCCAGCATTTTAGGAGGCCAAGGTGGGTAGATCACCTGAGGTCAGCAGTTCAAGGCCAGCCTGGACAACATGGTGAAACCTTGACTACCAAAAGTACAAAAATTAGCCAGGAGTGGTGTCACCTGCCTGTAATCCCAGCTACTCGGGATGCTGAGGCAGGAGAATTGCTTGAACCTGAGAGGCAGAGGTTGCAGTGTGCCAAAATTGCACCATTGCACACCAGCCTGGGCGACAGAGCAAGACTGCATCTCAAAAAAAAAAAAAAAAAAAAGTTTTCTGTAGTCCTGCAACTCTATGCTGAAGCTGGGCTGCCTTAATACTAACTGCCCATCAGCCTGCAGCTCTGCACGCCATCCACTGGGAGACCCCTCTCTTACCAAAGCTCACCTCCCTGACTGGAGGTCCAACTGTCTCCACTCCCCCCTAACAAGATGACGTGCCCACTGAACTACCAACTGTAATCGACCACCTCTCTCTGGATACTGCCTTCCTGCTCCTCCTTGATTCTTGGAGGTGCCCCTGGCCTGCCTCACCTTAGTGGTGTCTGGGTCCTAGCCTGACCAGACCTTCTCTGTCCTGATGGGGCCTTCCATTTATTCTCCATGCAAAGCCGGTAGGTTTCTTCAAAGTTTCTTCTTTGTACAAAGAAGGTTTATTCTCAGGATGATGCAAATATTCTCAAATTAATTGTGGTAATGGTTGTATAACTCTGTAAATATACTAAAAACCACTGGATTGTACACTTAAAAAGTCAGAATCATCCCATCTCTGCTCAAAACCCCCTAGCAAAGTGCTCCAGGATCTGCCCTCCTCTCCTCCTCTCTGCTTTGCGAACGTAGTCCCTCCAGGTACCCTGACCTCCTCAGTGTTTCCTCTGCAGGCTCTTGCTCCAGGCCCTCTGAATCTGCTGCTCCCTGGCCTAGAACACTTGTTCTTCCCACAATAGCTGTTGGCTCATTCCTCACTTCCTTCAGATTTTGACTCCAATGTTATCACCATCGAGGGCCTCCCCATCACCTTATAGCAAACAGCATCCCACTCCTGCACCACACAGGCCCTGCCAATTCCCAGGCCCCTCACCACCAGCTGTTTTGTTTCTTGTCTCTCTCTCCCCATTGGAATGAAAGTTCCATGTGGGAAGGGGCTTTGTTTTGTTACTAACAAAATCTTGACTTGGTGCCTAGAAAACAACAGGTACACAATCAACTCTGAGCAAATATTTTTTGAGTGAATGAATACATGATGGTCCAAGTATGACCAGTCTTGATTTCAACAAGGACAACACAAAAACATTACTGGGTTTTTAATTATCACAAGATCTAATTTGACACTGATTTAGTGAAATGAAATCTGTATCTTCAGAAGATGAATGTCATTCCTGATACAAGACAAAGATGTCAGTTTCTTGGTTTTGAGATTTGTTAAAAATGACAATAAAGGAATTTTGTTAACCTGCATTTGCAGTTTAGTCATTTATTTATTTTTATTTATTTATTTATTTGTTTGTTTATTTATTTATTTATTTTATTTTATTTTTTGAGACGGAGTTTCACTCAAGTTACCCAGGCTGGAGTGCAATGGCGCGATCTCGGCTCACCGCAACCTCCGCCTCCCGGGCTCAGGCAATTCTCCTGCCTCAGCCTCCTGAGTACCTGGGATTACAGGCACGCGCCACCATGCCCAGCTAATTTTTTGTATTTTTAGTAGAGACGGGGTTTCACCATGTTGACCAGGATGGTTTCGATCTCTTGACCTCATGATCCACCCGCCTCGGCCTCCCAAAGTGCTGGGATTACAGGCTTGAGCCACCGCGCCCGGCCTATTTATTTATTTTGAGACAGAGTCTCACTCTGTGGCCCTGGTGGGAGTGCAGTGGCACAATGCTGGCTCACTGCAACCTCCCACTCCTGAGTTCAAGCGATTCTCCTGCCTCAGCCTCCCTAGTACCTGGAATTATAGGCATGCACCACCATGCCTGGCAATTTTTTGTATTTTTAGTAGAGATGGGGTTTCACCACGGTGGCCAGGCTGGTCTCGAACTCCTGACTTCAGGTGATCCACCCATTTCAGCCACCCCAAGTGGTGGGATTACAGGTGCGAGTCACTGCAAACGTCGTTTAGATGTCTACCTAACCCTCCTTAGGTAAATGGCTAAACTCCAAATACAGATAAAAAGAAAAAATTGGCTGGGCGTGGTGGCTTACGCCTGTAATCCCAGCACTTTGAGAGGCTGAGGCAGGTGGATCACCTGAGGTGGGGAGTTAAAGACCAGCCTGACCAACATGGAGAAACCCCGTCTCTACTAAAAACACAGAATTAACCAGGCATGGTGGTGCATGCCTGTAACCCCAGCTACTTGGAGTCTGAGGCAGGAGAATTGCTTGAACCCGGAAGGTGAAGGTTGCAGTGAGCGGAGATTGTGCCATTGCACTCCAGCTTGGGTAACAGGAGCTAGACTCTGCCTCAAAAAAAGAAAAAAACAAAAGAGAAAAAATCAATTCAGTGCTTCCTGGTATACATAAATATGTCAGAATACTTCACAACAATGATTCTGCCATAATGAGTTGGCATAAACTCCAAGTAACCTTTTCTGTGGGGCCAAAATACAAATACACCAGATTCAGGACAATGAATGCAATTTCTGTTCAACAGACTTTGGTGTCTCAAATAGGATATAACTTCATGCACGTATTATGCCCATCATTCCTGCTAAAGATGAGACACAGCAGGGAGGTTATGTGTTTACTGACAAATTCTGACCTAGTTAGGGTCAAGGACTAGGCCTCACACCTGCTCATACCCGCAGACTGGAGCCTGCACTTGGCCAAACGTAAACTTACTGAATCAACAATCTCTGGTAATCAATACCCTAAGTTACATATCCATAACAATAACCATAAACTCAAGTACATATTGAAGTTTAAGATTTTCAGAAAAAGGCCGGGTGCAGTGGCTCATGCCTATAATCCCAGCACTTTGGGAGGCCGAGGTGGGTGGATCACGAGGTCAAGAGATACAGACCAGGCCAGGCGCGGTGGCTCAAGCCTGTAATCCCAGCACTTTGGGAGGCCGAGGCGGGTGGATCATGAG